GGGGGGGGGGGGGGGGGCATGGGCTCGATGTACGTGCGTGACTGCTCTGCCCCCCATATGCCCATGAAGCAAAACTGCTGTTACTACACTGCCGTACCCTCAAAAAGTAAATGTTAGGGCTGAATGACATCCCTCGGGACTGGGAAAGAGCAGGCCGTTCGCTTTGTGGGCTGGCGCGTGTGGGCTTGACTTTGGAAAACGAGATTGTCCGCGTACGAGGGGATCTAGTGGGAAGGGTCCCCTCCATGTACACTGCTGATGTATGCGCTGAGGTGTCAAATAACGGGAGGGCTTGACCTGACCACCGTATCCTGCGTGAGTACCTTTCAACCAACAACAAGTGAAAGATGCTAGTATGGCTTTGAACTCGATCGCTGGCATGGCGGTAAGCTTTCAAAACACGCACAGCTTTCGGTGTGTACGTGGAGGAAAGGGGGGAGAACGGGTGAGAGAGCGGGATCTATGAGCCGTTCAACAGCGGTATTTCCGTGCGGACACTTCACGTGCAGCCATACTGCTGTATGCCACTCCTTCGCAGCACGTACGGTACAGAAGGAGTCGGCATACGGCTGAAGGAACAGGAACGCCGCATCTCCGCGGCCGTTCGCCATGTACACGCCTGCTTCGTGATTCAAAATCACGCGGTGCCAACAACGCAAGCAAGGGCGTTCGTTTCCGAACAACAGGGGACAAAGTGTGGAGAATCTCCATCTGTGTTCTTCACGCGCTATTTCGCTCACCTCGAACTGCTTGACGACCCCCGTCGGCTCCACTTTCACCTCCGCTTTCACGGAGGAATCTATTGCTGGCGCTGGTTGTGCTGTTGGCAACATGCTGCACGTCAAACGAGAGACAAATGGCCGATTGAGCATACAGAGCAGGGCCGAGCAGCGGGGGCGCAGACGGTGGCAAATGGTCTGGGAGGCTCCGTGGATGGAAAAGGCACCCAACCGTGATGAAGCCACGTGCCTCCAAGGGAGAGGCGGCGGAACTGTCTCGTCATCCACGTGTCTTCTTGCCACCCTCCTATCTCGGATTTCAGACATGGTCTGCGTCGTCCACGAGCGCTTCAGGTCAGCTCCCGCCTACGTCGCCGCCAATATTACCAGGGGAAGGATCTGCAGGACTGGCCAATTCATCCTTCGGGTGCTACATATTTCGGAGAGCGAGTATCGCCCCGCTATCTCTCCAACTCAAGAACTTGAACCCGCGCTCCTTCAACAGCAGCACATAGACTTGGACATCATCCGAACTCAATGATGCTCGTCGTCCATCGACGCCCAGCGAGCCGAGGGGCTGCTGTCTTGTTGGCGAGAAGAAAGGCCACCACCACAACGACCCACTTACCACCAACGGCGTCCGGCGGCTACACCGCCGCCATCCTGGATGATTCTGCTGTCCGAAAACCTTGGGAAAAGGATCTCATCAAGTCGTGGTGAGTGCTGCTGCTGCTGGCTCTCCTATGTTGCATGCGTATCTCTCGCCTTCATGCGTGTGTTGAAGTTTGTTGTTGCTACATATACTTCGGGCATGTGATTTGCAGCTTCTTGTGCCTCCGAGAAGACGTCGGAAATGTGCACGAGCGGTTGTGTCTGTCTGCATGGGTGTGTGCTGCACGTCCTTTTTTTTAAACAAAAACACGGCTCGTCGGGGACATTCCTGCTGTGATGCATGCGGGCCCTCTTGGTTGCCTCTGCTGCTGCGCATCATGCTTTGGTTTCTTGTTCAGCGCTAAACGCAAGCAGGTGAGAGTGAGTCTCGAGTCGATACTCGACGTCTCGACTGGCGAGAGGCCATGGAGGGCCTCTTTCGGTGCGGCCAACCCGGACGTGTCCGCCGGCCCAGAACCAGAACTTGGACGGAGGGCATGCACGAGTTACGTTTCGGACGCCGAGAGACGGAAAATAGCAGAGGGCCAGCTGCAGAGCGCGCAGTACCTCCACCGGGAGCTGCCGGTCAGATTAGCGCAGGCCGTCACGGCGTTAGACAAGGTGCGCTGTGAGTTTTCCTTAAAAACAACAACGTATAAAAGCAATCCCTACAAAAACCCGCAAGTAGAAATCCCCCAGAAGATAAAATTCGCGATGCGTTCTTCGTTTTATGCATACGCACACCAACCAGCGCGTTCGAAGATGTTTAGAAAGTAAAATAACCTCACAGGATGACTTAGTCGAAAGGGATGTGGTGAAGTCTTTTCAGTAAGGGGGTTGCAACCGACTGGAGACTTGGCTTATTTTGAGTTTGTGTAAGCCTAACACTGGTTAGCAGTATTGCCAGTTGGAGCTAAGAACAAAAGCATCTGTATAGGCGGATACACTCTTAATTTTATGTGGAATGTGGCCTTCACAGGGAACATGGCGCAGTGTCCTTTGACAACTTGCTGTGTTTAGAAGGTACTTTTTTCTTGATCATGTCACCGATAGCTTGTCGCGCAATCCCCCGATATGCTGTGCGGAGAAATCTACCAGCCGGAAGCAGCGCGGAAGTGTTGCCCAACATTCGGACGATTGCAGCATATCCGAGACTTTGCGGCACGACTTCTTGCAGCCCGCAAAAATGCAACTTGGGAATGACGTCGCTGGTATTGTGTTCGCGCATGTTGCCATTCTCCCGTACGCAGCAGTGTGACTACCATCGTCCGTGAATAAACCCGAGCTGGCGGGTCAGGTCCTGCGACGGAATTACTGCTCTATATTTGATGGCATTTTTGCTCCGCATGGTATCCTGGGCAAATCAGCTCCCATGTTCGTCGAATACTTTTATAGCCTGCCACACTCTGTTTGCTTGGCGTGGGGTACGCATGCTTGAAGGAGGCGGTTTTTCTTTCTTGTTCCGGTGCATAAATACAAAGCAGCATCACCGCCGTGTCATCCACCACGGCGGTTGCCACAACGCAGTTGCGGGTCGGCATGGAGTGCTTGGTGGATTTTGCAAGCCGGGTTTTGATTTTCCGAATGTTGACCTTACCAGTATTACACCTGTATCCTGGATGGTTGAACTGTGAACGTTAGGAGCGGGGCAATGGCAATACTATTCACAAACAATATCAACTACGTTCACCAATCTACCTCTCGCAGCAAATCTTGTATTTAAAATCGCGCTTGCACTCTCAGGCTGTGGCACTTGCGCTACTGCGAAGGTACGAGGCTGGCAGCCGATTACGAGCGTCGACCCTCTCCGTCATTGTTTTGGCCATCCTTTCTCTCGCTCCTCACGAACGATCCCGTTCTGTTGTTCTCGTGGCTGTCCGCTTCTGCTAATGTTCCCAGATGAAGAATACAGGGCTAACATCCACCCTCCCCGTGACACGAGTACGGGAGGACTATCTTCAGAACTTCCGGGAGCTGCAAGAGTCCCCGAGGCCGCACGAGCTGGAACAGGTAAACGAAACACTGGAGGGGCGGATAGAGCGAGACACAAGAGATGAGCCTAAGTAGGTAGAGAGAGCGAGATGCAGATGTTCTGGTACCTCTGCTGCCAGGCATGCATCTGCAATGAAAGTGGAGGGAGAGAGAGAGAGAGACAGAGAGACAGAGAGAGAGTCACGCACAAGACAAACAGGGACGTGCCCTGGCCGATTGCAGGGTCAAGACACATCGAAGTAGGCGTGCATCTTCTTCCCAATTTGCTTCTATCCCTGACTGTGGGTTCGAGACACATTTATTACCCCCGTGATATGTACTCATCCATTCGCGCTCTGCGAAGCCGGGTGCAAGCTGATGTGAGCCTCTTGCCCCCGCGTTCGTTCAGGTGGTGGCGTTTACGGAGACGGTTAGGAGGGTGCAGAAGCGGGGCAGCGACACGGTGCTGCAGATGGCCTGCGGGCTGCAGGACCTGATGCGGGATGGCAAGCGGGAGGAAAGCGAGGCGCTTGGGCGGATCCAAGATTTTTTGGACGATTTTTACCAGGTGATGGAATGATTCTGTGCTCTTCCGTATTGGTTGCACGAAATTTGTTTTTGTTTTCTCGAAAATGTGCATGTACACTCAAAGAAGGACTTTCAGTTTGAGATATATCCACAGCAGTTACTCGAAGGGGATGGATGAAGATAGTGAGGGGGGAGAGTTCTTGTTCTGTTGCGGGCGGGGCGGCCTTGGTCCAGCAATGGCTGTCTGCTCGCGCTTGGGACTCAACTCTCCCGGACTTGCTCGCCTTCTGCTTCCACTCGCGGCGTCTGCAGAATCGCGTCGCAATGAGGTTCCTCTGCGGGCACTACCTGGCCCTGTCGTCGACACAGCGGGACGGCTTCGTGGGCCTGGTTCAGCGAGGGGTTAGCTTGGCGGGGATCGCACAGGTGATAAGAGCTGATCAGAACAAGTACAGACGACGAAAAAAGCGCCTGCGCATCCCTCGCTGATTTTGATGACTCCCGAAGTATCGGGCCGACCAGCTGAAACGCCGACTTGAAAACTGCTGCAGCGCTTACACGACCGTTCTCTTCCTCTCTTTTTATCTCGCTCCCCATCTGTCTGTCTGTTTCTCTCTTATCTCTCCCTCTCCCTCTCCCTCTCTATCTTTCTCGCTCTCTTTCTCTCTCTCTTTCTCTCTCTTTGCCATTCACAAACACAATTTGTTGCTCGCACGCAGTCGGCTGCGGTGGAGGCCGCCTCGATTTGCTGCCACGCCCTTGGCGCCTGCCCCGAAGTCCGCTTGAGCGTCGACCCGGCGGGGGACGGCCTCGTCGCCGCGGTGCCGGAGTACGTCCACTACGTCATCCTCGAGCTGCTCAAGAACGCCATGCGCGCCACGATGCAGGCACACGGCGGTGGCAAAGCTTGGGCTGGGATGGACGTGGCGGCGGAGGAGGATGCTCGAGTGCAGGAGCGAAAAGGAGCCGAGGAAGAAGGGGGTTCGAATATCGTTTTCGCGGACGTTCCCGAGGTGGTGATTTCCGTGAGGCCTCATGGCGAGGATGACGTCATGCTCGTCGTGGCGGACCAGGGCGGAGGGATTCCGGCGGAGGCTACCGACAAGGTAAAAAGCGGCGGGGGGGGGGCTCTCCTGCCCGCTGAGTGTAGTTTGTGAACGCTTCTTTCGTTGGGCACACGGTGGAAGCCTTANGGGGGGGGGGCTCTCCTGCCCGCTGAGTGTAGTTTGTGAACGCTTCTTTCGTTGGGCACACGGTGGAAGCCTTATGTTGCTGCGATGCCTATGGTAGGCTATGCCTTTCCTGGTACCAGCCACGACATCTGCCGCAGGGTTCGTTTCTACGGAAACCGCAATAAAAAACAACGGACGGACGACTTACCGTCAGTTGATGTTGTAGCAACGCCGCTCTCGAATCGCATGTCTCTTTGCCCCATACCAAACGGCAAAGTTGTGTTGTCGAAGGTGGCAACCGATGACTGCCCGGGGTTGCGCGAGTGCCATCGCTATTGTGTTCCCCCCCCACCTCCAATTTGCGCGCCGTGTATGTCTCTGACCCTCCTGAGCGTTTTCCGCCTGCGCGGAAGGTCCCTCATCGTCTCATCGGTTGTGTGACACCCGCTCGTTCACCCTCGCGCGGTGTTGTTCTAACCCCACATAAGGTTTGGAGCTACCTCTACACAACGGCGGGGGACGCCGTGCAGACTTCGTACTTGGCGAACGGCGGCAACTCCGCGTCCAAGGCCCCCCCGCTCGCGGGCTTGGGCTACGGACTCCCACTCAGGTGCGGCCTGTGTTTTTTGTGCGGTCTGATTGTTTGTTGGCGTGTGCGATGCACACCGTGCATGAGTCACAAACGTCCGTCACGCGACGACGAATCGCTCGTTCTGTCCGCTTGTTGCGGTTAGGTCCGGCTTGTGCGCGAGCAACTCATGCCGGTACAACTAGGGGACCCCCCCCCCATGACGGTATTGGGTCTATGAACGGTTGCGCCGATGCGCAAGAACGCCTCAAGTACACCCCAATTGTTTTCTTCTGCCCTTGCCTCAGCTTCCTCGCTCCCCCTTGCCACCACCCCTGCCACCGCTCGCCCCCCCCACCCCACCCCCTATATTTCCACCAAGCAGCCGACTCTATGCTCGAAATTTCGGGGGTGAGCTGAAGTTGAAGCCCTCGGCCTCAGGCAAGGGCACGGATGCGACTCTTCAGCTCAGTCGGCACGGTACTCGCCTCGAACCCCTTGTGTGGCCAAAGACCCGGGACATGATCGAGGAGTTGTACGCGCACGTTCACTTGTAGTAGTAGGTCGCGTTTGTTCTCGCTACTTTTCTGCGGAGAGAGTGAGTGGCGCGGGCAACGAGTGGGGAAGCCGACGAGCTTTTGTGTTGTCTTTTTGCGATCGCAGTCTGGAGACGGAAGACTCGCACGCGAGTCAAGAGAGATTGCGTGTGGGTCTGCGTTGTTTGTAGCTCTCGCTTGTCTGCGTGTGGTAATTGGGAGATGGAAAGGGGGGGGGGGGGGAGCATAGGTTTCTTCCCACGCGGCAGTAGGGCTACCCGAAACCTCCCTGTCTATCTCCTTGTGGACATGATCATCAATCAGTCCTTTGTGGTGGTGGATTTACGGAGATTCGTGCTTGCTGTGGTGGTGACAAGATTTTCTGGGTGGTGGGCGGCTGGCAAAAGGTCGCATTTCATCGTTTATGGGGCAGGAGGCAACGCTGAAAAGGGTAGGTCAAATACTTTCGAATGTGTCGTTCGTCGGTGTGCGAGTTAGTTCGTGATCCGGCCTTGAGCGACCTGTTGTGAGTAATGTTCTTGCAGGGTGGCGTGCAGACGGAGGGACCGGGGCGCGCATGCCGCAGGTTGTTTCGGAACGGAAATAGTGGCAGATGTGTGTGTGTGTGCGTGTGACTGGTTCTTGTGCTTGTTGTGTTGTCGGATGTTGTTAAGGTGCAGGTATCGGCATCGGGCTGCTGTTTCAGTAGTACTGCTGAAAATTCCGTTTCTTCCGCAAGGGCTTGCTCAACGTGTCTCTTGTGTTTTGGTTCAGCGGGGTGGGCTGGATCGAGCAATCAGCACTACTGTAGGCGAACCCATTGGTCGTTTCGTGATAGAGCGCGGCTTTCTGTCGCACGTAGTACCGCTGTGGCAATAGCGAGTAGGTGCACCGGGCGCTGTCGTTATCTTCAGCGAGTTTTGTATTTTTTGGGCACCCCAGTGCCCGTGACCCCGTCGGGTGCGATAATATACCGATACCGGTATTGTTTTCATTTCGTTTTTATGTAGCTTTTCCAAGGCACCCCGGTGCGATAACTTGATTGTTGGTGCGATGCCGAGTAATATACAGCGCAGCGGCCTGATTCTTGGTGCCGCTGTCCTGTCGTTATGCACCCCCGGTGCGATGTCTCCAATAAAGGGGTGATGTTGAGTAAATAGCACCGTCTCGGCTTTCTGGTACAGCGTACGCTGGTACTTGAGTCGGTAAGACACAGCGTGGTCATGGGGTCAAAGTTTCAACACACACAACCTCCTCATACATTGTACATGTGGAACGCTGCCCTTTTCTTTTAGCGCCAACTATTGCTGAGCTATGCATACCACAGGATGGTTCTGAAGCCCGATAGGGATTCGACTTCTGCCGCCAATATTTTCTCAAAAACGATACTAAAACGACCCCACTTTCTGTGGTTTCACTTGGTTTTAGAGTAGGGAACCTCGGGTCTCTTCTCTAAAAGCAAGTTGGTACCTTCGGTCGATGTTTATCGAGATTCCATCGACAGATTTTCGTCTAGGTCGGAAGAGGTGTCCCTCGTGGCCCCGTCCGCCCTTCCTGCAAGTTTGATGCGAAAGCTTGTGTAACAGTTTTTGAGAAACGCATACGTTGTTGCATTTCTACGCGTAAATCACCTGCCTGACAAAAAAAACTGACGATCGTGCCATGTCCTGCTCTTAAGACAGAGACACGCTTACCAAACCTCACTCGCGCACTTCAAATGCCTTTCCATGCCCTGTTCGAGCCTAGGACATGCTCTCCTCGACGTTACGATCTCTCCATGTCTCTCTCTCGCCAGAAACACGCTTGCCTTGACCTTACTCCCATGGACTATGACTAGCTGCCTTTCTATGTCCTGCTTAAGCCTATCACATGCTTCCCATGTTTAGCTCTCGCCAGGAACACGCTTACCTCGGCCTAACAAAAAAATGGTTGGGTGTGTGGGAAAAAGAGCCGACGATGTTCTTGCTCTCTTCATTCATTGTCTGTCTCCCCTCTCTCGCTTTCTTCTTACTCCTCTTCTGCACTTTCCCTTACTCCTCCTGGTCTGTTTGTTTTGCTCCTTGGCGTTGGGATGCTTCTGCTGTGGGCAAGAGTCTTTGTCATTTATTTTCTTCTATCCTTTTATTGCTATTTCCGTTATAGTCTACCTGCCTCTACCGATCTATCTCATTCATTGATTACTTGGATCTTTCTAACCGTTGCGACAAAATACCAGCTTGTACAACATCACCTTCTGTCTCACTTCCCGAAAAATGTCATTTTTATTTTTGTACCGCCGCAAGAGGGCCGGGTCTTGGAGGTGGATCTCTCCTTCCTCCCCGGCCCTCATCCTACTAAGGAATCCAAACACTCCCGTAATAATTAGGAACTAGGCTGACCATACTCCGCTGGTCGCCCAGCTTGGACACAAAACTTTCCCGTCACGCAGCCTTGTTTTTTCTCAACAATTTTGGATTTCTCCTCACGATGCCTTCCCCCATTCTGCCCCTTGTCCCGGTCGTCTCTCGTATCCCCCTTCCCCTTCTTCCAACACTACCGACACCCATGCGGGGTCTTGCATATTCGCCCTTACGTATGCTATAAATGCATTCGACGACCACCTCCCTTCCTTCTTTAGTATGGTCTCCGGTGCACCTCTCGCGGCTAACCTCATCGCCCCACCTGTCCTTCCTGCATGTATTGCGAACTCTTCCGGTTTTAGTTTCGCCCCTTTCCCTTGTCCTTCCTTCGACCACGCCTTGGCTACCGCTTTTATCCTCTCTCTCAACTGTTCAGTCGCCTTTCCTCTCTGCCGTACCTCCCACTTCCCTTTTCCTTTGTGTAGCTTCAACGGTGTCGTTGCACTCAATCCTTCGCTCCCATAGATCCCAAATAGTTCCAGCATCAATTCTACCGCTGCTTTCTACAACTCCTTTCCTCCCTTGGTTCCCCTTCGAACCCCTCATAAGCACTTGCATCTCATCTGCTGTATCTCACTGCTTGTCATTCTTGAAGAACGCCACGCCCCCCCTGCACAGGCAATACACCTCGTGAATTCGGCCAAACTTTTCCGCAAGTATACTACTCTGGGGCTCTCAACATCAACAGATACGTCAACGCTAGTCTTGGTCCGATCCACGAAACCCTCCCCCCGGCGCCTTCCCCGCCAACGCTCATCGGCTGCATTGTGCTCAACATTCCCCAGGTCAGGGGTCTCCTTATTCTTGCTTGTGTACCTTTCTCCACGCGTCTAAACTTGATACCTTGCGCTATCCCTTTTATGTACGGATTACTCAACGGCAACGGCATGTTCTGGAACTTTTAATGATGGAAGTTCACCACTATCATTGTCAAATCCTTATTCCCTAGAAACGCGCTGCAGTACGCCATGTGCTCTGCCAGCTCTTCCACTATCTCCCCTTCCTCCAAATCCTTCACAATCCACGGGCTCTTCTGCACTCCTTCTCTCTACTTCATCCACATGTTCAAAGCCCCCGTTCAAGTATTTCTAGTCGGCGCTGCAACGCTTCCAAGTGCGTACCTTCGCGCAAAATCTCTGCGTATAGCCGCTGCTCTCCGACCGTCAGCTCCTGCACCTACCAACGTATTCCGGGGAGATTCCGATTGCAAGTGGTCAGCGATCTCGTCTTCCTTTCATCTCGTTATGCCATCTTCTAGCCTGTTGTCAACACCGGGTACATGTCTCGCTTGGAAGCACCAATCCCCGATCGTCTCCAAAGCCCCCATCACCCTCATCAACGCCCCTACCCTCACTTTCTCCCCTCCCCACTTCTTAACCCATGACACGGCGCTATTGTTGTCCGCCCTCATCAACACCGCTTCCCCTCTCCGCTCCTTCCTATCCCCCCTCGAAATTCTCATTACACACAACACGCCGTCATCACCATAATCACCGTCACTCCCAGTACATTCACGCAAATGAAGGTTCACTCTCCCCTCTGCCTCTCCCTTATCGTCCTCCTCTGTATCTCCGTCGGCACCTCATAGTCTGCCTCCAATAAACCCTAGTTTCCATGCATATCCCCCCAGCGCCCTCGTTGACGCGTCCGAAAACCAGCTCTTCGAAAGAACTTGCTAAGCAAAGCTGAACGACGGTGCCGATATCTTACTGCCCACCTCCCCTGCCCCTTCCCCGAGATACCACCGTCACCACCCCACCTCGGTCATAAACCCCCCAAGTCAATTTCATCACCTTGCGTGCGTGATTCTTCCTCCTATGACTGCCCCACGCGCCCCCCCCCTCCGTCCCGTTCCAACCCATTTAGATGCAGCTCCGCAAGCTGCACAAGTCTTCGTACGAAGTAACGGCCGGGCCGGATGACAAAGGCCGCGTGGTGCAGCTTACCTGCAAACAATAACACCTCGCGTACGGTAGCCTGCTTCCGATGGGCTGGCCACTCTGCTACTCTCTCAGATCCTGCACTTTCTGTCCCGGCAAAGAGATCGTTCCTGCTTCGGTATCCACCAACCAACCTAGCATCACATGTTCAGTCTTCAAATCCGTCATTTTCTTTGCGGGCAGTACGGGCTCTTCCTGTGCATCCCTCTCCCCTATTAATAATAATATATGGTGTGTTGACGCAAGACCCTTCGTCAGCTCCAGACACCGTTCCCCCTTTGCTTCCCACTGCACTTCTACGCTAATCGCATCATCCACAACAAACCGCACAAACGCCGCACCATCCTTCCCCTCTCCAATCACCGGTTTCACCCTACATCGGTACTATTTCCTTCCCGTCGGCGGGGCTAGCTTAACGTGTGCCGCTGTCCGTACCCCCGAAGGCGTTAACCTCACTGTGTCTCAGGTCGTTTGTCGGTGTTCATGTTCTATCGCCGACGTCGCCAACCCCCACAACCCCGGACTGTCTCTCCAACCAAACTGCAACCGAAGGTCGACTACCAGAAATCCCCCCACCACGTACCCAAAAGCCGGTGCCCCTGCTGGGTCTACTGCGATACGCGATCTTCACATCCATCGTCAGCAATAAAATCTCCCTTCTAGGATATCTAGCTCTCAATCCCAGGAATCGTGCGAACCCCTCCTTCATCACCGTCGCCATCCCTCACTCCGAAATTTCTTCAAAGGAAGTAGTCGCATTAACCGGCTGCCCTTTCCCCCCCGTTCCTCCCCCGGCCTTGAGTCGAGTCGTGTATCACCCGAAGTTTCTCTTTCTCTTCCACCACCCCGACCGGAGACACGCGCAATCAATCCCGGATTTTTTTCAGCATCTCCCCTCCTAAACAGTACCGCCCGGCCTTCTCCCACATCCTCTGCCATCTTCTAACAAATCGCTCCGTGCCATTTTTCAGCGCTCGGATGATTCCCGTGTGCCAACTCTTGTCCCAAATTCCCCCCTGGTCCCACGGCGATTGGTACACCTACCTTCTGCGATCTTCACCTACAACGCGTCCACCCGGACTCCGCACTACATGTCCGATATCACCTCCGTGAGCATCTACCATCTCTTTCCTCGGGGGAGGGGAGGGGCACTCGGAGGGTGGTACTCACAGAACCGACGATATGCTCTTGCTCTCTTTCTCTGTCTGCCTGCTCTCTCCGTACTCTAGCTTTCTTCTTCCTCCTCCTCTGTACTCTCCCCTACTCCTCCTGGTCTATCTCTCTTGCTCCTTGGCGTTGGGATGCTTCTTCTGTTGTGGGCAAAAGTCTATGTCGTTTCTTTTCCTTCCACCCTTTTATTGTTATTTCCGTTATACCTGCCTAACCGACCTATCTTACTCCTTCATTGTCTAATACTTGGATCTTTCTAACCATTCTGATTTTTTTTTTTTTGCTCCCATTATTGGACTCTGTCGTCTGCCCCTCTGGCTCCTATCCTCCACTGCTACCAGCTAGACGACCCAACCGGGGTCACATAGGGGGGGGGGGGGTACTCATAGTCGTGCATGCCGTAGTCGTTAGAC